TTTGTTTTTTGAGATAGAATCTTACTATATAGCCCTGACTGGCCTCAAACTTTGCTGTGTAGCCCAAGTTGGCTGTAAACTCATGGCAGTCCTCTTGTCATTCTTTTCCAATTTTTTTTTTTTAAAGATTTATGTATAAGAATGTTTTTGTCGCCGGGAACTGGAGTTCCAGATGTTTGTGAGTTGCTGTGTGGGTGATGGGAACCAAACCTGAGTCCTCTGCAAAAGCACCAAGTACTCTTAACCACTGAGTAATCTCTCCAGCCCCATTAGGGATGGCTTTTTTATTTTTATTTCATTTTATTTTTGAGACAGTCTGACTATGTAGCCCTGACTGACTTAAGTTCTAGGTAGAACTTGCTACATAGATCAGGCTGGTCTCTAATTCAGAGATTTTTTTTAAAACAAAGCAAAACTTTATTGGATTATATTTTACTTAGCGCGTGCGCACAAGCATGTGTACTATAGTGTGTGTGTAGGTCAGAAAGAAAACTTGGACTTGTTCCCATCACATGAGTTCTGTGGATCAAACTCAGGTCCTTGGGTTTAGCTAAGGGATGATTTTCCAGTTTGGTCTTTACAGGTGGATTTGTGGAAACCCTAGTGCCCACTGCAGACCATCAGAGCCATGGAGTTGGGGGTGGTGGTTAGTCAGCTTCTGGTCTATTTCTAGTTGGTTTCAAGAACCATGGCCACAGTGTTTTGTGGTTTTGTTGTGCTGTGTAGTAGTTCATAGTTGCTGTTTTAATGTGAGGTAGTTTCCAAGGTTTAAAAATAGGGAATTTTTTTCAGAGCCAGATTTCCTCTGTTCTATTAAAAACAAAAATCTGAAGACCTAATAATATGAATCTATTCCCACATGGCAACAGTTGATTAGAGTGGAATAGTGTATTCTGCTTTTAAACAGGCTGTGTACCTCATAGCTCACTGTAGTCCCCAGTGGCCAGCTCTGTTCAAAGCCTAGCCTGGTAAGCATCACATTTGAGACCTCATTCTGTCCCAAAGCTTTGCTGGAAGAAGCTAGATTGATGTCAGCAGCTGTTGGGGATATAGCCTTGTTGCTTAGGAAAATTTACAACCCAGAAATGTGTACAGTTGACTGGGTGTGGTAGTGCACACGTTTAATCCCAGCACTCAGAGGCAGAGGCGGATGGATCTCTGTGAGTTCGAGGTCAGCCTGGTCTACAAAGTGAGTTTCAGGACAGGCAAAGATATAAAGAGAAATCCTGTCTCGGAAAAAAAAAAAAAGTATTGTGCACAGTTTTTGCCTGAGAATTTGGCCATCCTTTTTACTGTAAATGCTGTTGGCATATTAAACCTCCCATCACAAATGTTCCATCGAAACAGTAACATGGTCTTGCATTGGATGAGCTGTTACCTAGTGGAGGAATTGCTCCCACTCCCAAGAGGTGTCCACTCATCCTCTGCTTGACCACTGCCAACAACCAGGCATTTACCACCTCTTACTTGGTGGCCAGCTCTATCTTTGGACAGATCCATTATATAGAAAGTATTTTTTATGTTGAGCCAACTGGCTCCTCTTTGGAACCTGCAGCTATACAATGTTGGAGCAGGGAGGGCAAGGGAGGTGCAGAACTTCCGTTCACCCACCCTGTATCCAGGACAGCACAGTGCTTTCTTGCTGTAAGTAGAAAGAAGCCTCAGTTTGGGGTGTGGGGTTAGGGAACAACTTTTGTTTTGCTTTGTTTTTCTCTGTGTAGCCCTGGCTGTTCTAGAGCAGCTGTAGGCTGTATAGACCTGACTGTCCTTGAACTCGGAAATCCACCTTCTGCCTCTTGAATACTAGAATTAAAAGCTGAAAATTCTTTTTAAAAATGTCAAAAAAAATGTGTTGACTTGTAACTGGTGAAATGGTATAACATTTATTAGTAATTCCCGTCTCCCCAAAGTAACCCCTCTCAACAGCTTGAGTTCATCCTTTTACATGTGAAACACTAGTGGTGCAAAATACGTACTTCTATATAACTTTCTTTACAGAATCTTAACTTTGTATCTTGGATTGACCTGGAACTCATAGCTTAATTACCCAGCCTTAGCTTCCTGGAGGCTAGGATTACAGACAGCCACCTCTTGTGTATCTCATGGTGTCCCTCTTCACTAGATTTGCTTTTACCTCCCCTTGCATAGAATCTGCCTCCGTTTATTAGTTATACCCTATTGATGGGTATTCCCGTTGAACCAGGTATTGTGATACACACCTGTAATCTCAGGTCTCTAGTTTAAGGCAAGGAAGATTGTGAGTTCAGGCCAGCCTGGGCCACATAAATAAGACCCTTTGTTTTGTCTGGAGAGATGGCTCAGTGGTTAAGCGTGCATACTAACTACACATTCAGAGAACCTGAGTTCAGTTCCCAGCACTCATATCATATGGCTTACACCTGCCAGCTTCAGGGGAACTAAAGCCTTTGGGCACTTCAGATACCTACTTGTAATGCAATGTGTACATGTGCATAAATGCTTGCATGCAAGCAACTATGATGTGTTCTCTCTCTCCCTCTCTCTCTCTCTCTCTCACACACACACACACACACACACACACACACACACACACAAGTTAAAAGGAATCAGCCAGAAGATAACAAGGCAGGCTTTTGTATTTGTTTTTAAAAATCTTGTTTGGCCTCATTCCACCCCAGTGTTTTGGGTTTTGCCTTGTTTTGCTCTGAGATAGCCTCACTATGTAGTCCTGGTTATCCTAGAACTCGATATGTAGACAGGCCGACTTCAAACTCAGAGATCCACCTGTTTCTGCTTCCTTGGTGCTGAAATTAAAGGCATGTGTTACCACAATTGTCTGGGTTGGTTTTTAAAGTATACTATTCTGGACCAGCGAGATGACTCAGCAGGTAAAGGCACTTACCACCAAGCCTTAATTTTCTGGTACCCACATGATCTAAAGGGAGAACCAACTCCCACAAGTTGTCCTCTGACCTCCACATGTGCTCTGTGTCATGTGCATATACAGGCATTTACACACAAAGTAAATAAAATGTAATGATTTTTTTTAATGAATAAAGTACTATTTTAGGCTCAGGCTGACTGCATAGCTTGCATTTTGGTGAGAAGAAAAATCAACATAAGACAGTATTTCATAGTGTCATATTATAAGAAATGAGAGCACTAATACATTTGAGTGACTGTGGAAGAGAGTCAGGGAGACTCTTTGAGGAAGTGATATTGTGCTGAGACCCAAGCAACTTAGGAGCTAGCCTGCAGGGGAAGGAGACCAGTGAACAAGAAGGCACTGTGTCATGAGGTTGAAGAGACAATAGGAGTCATGCAGGGTACTTTTGGCCAAGGTAAATTTGGATTTATTTAGATTCTTTAAGTGCAATTGGAAGTCATTGGAGACTTTAAGCCAGGAGATGACTTGTGATTTCTCCTTTAAAATTATTGATGGGAGACCTGTGTAACTTGGAACAAAGTTCACTTTCTCTCATCCTTTTCCCCACTGCTTCCATCAAAAAGAACTGACAGCTATACTAGTTTGTTCTCTTTTGAGATCCAACCAGGCTTTTTCAAGGCTACTTAGCCATATACAGCTATCCCCAACAGGGTGTGTAAGGCCAGGATAATGGGAGCCATGTCCTAAAACCTGGGCCCTGCAGGTTCTATATACTGTAGGTCTGTGTAGAGTTCTTAGTTCTTGGGCAGCCCTAGGGGAATGGAACTTAGGGCACTGTTTGCAAGAGACAGATGGGGGAAATGTTGGGTGGTTACTTTAAGCTTCAGACACTTGAGAAAGGCCTCTAGAAACAAGTTAGCTGAAAATTAGACTTGCTGTTTGCCCACTTCAAACAACTTCTATTTAGTCCCTGCTTAAGAATTTTGACATTTTCTTATTTGAGTGTCTTTGCTGCTGCTGCTGCTGCTGTTGACAGTTTCTCTGTCTAGTCCTAACTGTCCTGGAACTCACTCTGCAGACCAGAATGGCCTCAAACTCAGAGAGACTTGCCTGCTTCTGCCTCCTTAGGATTAAAAGTATATTCCACCACTGCTCAACCAAGTGTCTTTGCTTTTTATTCTGCCTCATTCCCTTCAAGTTGGTACTCTGTTGTCTCTTGGATAACATTCTGGTGCTCTGAAAATCAAGGGACTTCCACTTTGGAGTCTGGGGCTGAGGTTGACTTAAAGGACTGAAGAGGAGGGCTTCGGGTGGTGGTGGGGACCTTGTAGTAGGAAGGTGGAGTCTTAGAGTTCAGAGCCAAGTCTGTTCCAGAGTAGAAGAGCTGTGTTGAAGGGCATGAGATCCCTTCATGGTGGTGATCTTTAAACAGGTCTGTCCATGTTTGTGCCCCAGGGCTCATATTTATCAGCTAGTTTGTGACCAGATTGTTATCTGCTGTCAACATGTACTATCTGCGTACCTGGGGTATCTCCTGCATTCACCATCCCACCTTCCACCCTTGAGTCAGAATTGATGGTTTTGGTTAATTAGGGAGCTTGCTGATGAGCAGTCACTGTCTAGCTCTGAGAGGAGTCAGCTGGAGACAAACAAGGTCATGAGATGTGTTCCGGGTCATGTGTCTGTTTTGTCATGTCACCTTGAGCCAGACCTTCCTTCCTTCAGATCTTTTCCCAAATGCACAGCATCTCTTCCTTCCTGTTTCTGTACACCCTTCTGACTTAATCTTTGATTTGGGTCAACCTCCTTTGGTTCTGTGCTGTCCGGTTGTGAGACAATTCTTCCCCTTAGTCTCTGAGGGTCTGATCTCGAAATGCCTGTCATACCTGTTTCCTGAGTCCACAGTTAGAGAGGAGCTGGTTCATTGTCTGAGGGTCTGGTCTTGGGGTGCCAGTCATGCCTGTTCCCTGGGTCCACAGTTGGAGAGGAGCTGGTTCAGTGTCTGCTACTGGCTTCATCTTTCTCCCAAAAACCCAGAAGAAACTCCGTGAAACATGAACAGTATCCTCAGCCCATATTCATCATAACAGTTTAAACCCTGCACTTCCTCTGATCCCTTTGCTTTCTTTTCCAGGAGCCTGGAGAGGTGTGGCTGGACCAAGACCTCCCCTGATGTAAGCAGGCTCCCTCCTCCCCCCACCACCCGTTGCCACCACGCCAGGGGACATCCTCAAGCCCTGGCCCTTAGGGGAGAGGTAACAGGAGCCCAGAGCCGAGACCATGTGACGGCGCTGGCCCTTGCCACCGCCGTCCCCCAACCCTGGCCCCAGGCCTGGCACCATGATGTTCCGAGACCAAGTAGGCATCCTCGCTAGCTGGTTCAAGGGCTGGAATGAATGTGAGCAGACAGTGGCTCTGCTGTCGCTTCTGAAGCGGGTCACCCGTACCCAAGCCCGCTTTCTGCAGCTCTGCCTGGAGCACTCGCTGGCGGACTGCAATGATATCCACCTGCTGGAGTCAGAGGCCAACAGTGCTGGTGAGTGTCTGCCCCTAGAGATGGGAGTACAGTGGGGAGAGCAAGAGCAGGTGCCAAATGCTATGGAGACCAACAGCAGTGGTGCTGAGAAATGTCTGTTCTGTGCTTGTCTGCTCTCCTGGGGCTGTGTTGTTGTCAGCTTTCTTCAGATGTGGAACGGGGATTCCCAGGAGGGCAATACAAACTGGAACTGCCCATATAGAGGAAGGGTGGTGTTGGGTAGCTTGTATGAGCTGCCAAAAGGAGCAGGCAAGTCATGAAGTGGCATGGTGGAAGGTGAGGGGTGATTTGTTTTCCTGGCTCTAGGACACCAGAGCTAGGAAAGGATCTCAGAACTCATAGAAGAGGCTGTCTGTGCTAGGTTCACCTCCAAAAGTAGATTGGCCACAGGCACGACAGCTCCAAGAGAGTTCCCTAAGTACCCAGTGGAGAGGCACTCTGTCCACTGAAGCTGGCACTGGGATGGGTGAGCCAGACAGCCTTAGAACCTGTCCCTAGAATTCAGGAACAGTCAATCAGTCTAGAGAACCATCTCAAGGGCTACTGCTAAAACATACGTCCTTCTGAGCCTTGACATCTAGCTGGGTGCAACACTGCTGATCTCAGTGACACAGGTGGGAGATGGAAGTCAGAGAAGGGGGAGAGTTGTGGTTAACAAAATTTAGCTGGGATGGGAACTGAGGAACCCCTTGTAGAGTTACCCATATTCTTTTTACCTTCAGCCTCATAACAGCAGTTCCCGTGGAACCTTTGCAAGCCAAGTGCCCCTTAACCTGTATCAGGTCATCTGATGGCTTTTGAGTCACATTGTCTAGGCTGAAGTCATAGTTATTATTTGCCATAATAGTGCCTCAATTCCCTCATCTTTAAAGATGGTAATTCCACATATGTTTAGGGTGCTTCTGAGGAGCCAGTGAGTTCATGCAGGTGGAGTGCCTGGTAAGCAGTAAATACTTAGTAACTGTCAATTGTCTTTATTGTCAGTCATGCTTATACTCCTCAGAACTACTCTATGAGATTAGTACTGTTATCATCCCTATTTTACATGGGAGGACTCCAGCATGTGTTTCTAAGATTGGGATTTAGGGAACCACAGAGCTACCTGGCCTCTGTTAACTCCCCAGACCCAGTCATCATAGAAATACTGTTATTTCTTACTGAATTGGATATACAAGCTACAGAAGCATCATGGCACAACAGAAGATAGTTACATAGATTAGGAGTCATGTTGGCCTGATGTTCATCAGGCAGATAAAGAGCAGTCAGAGCCCAGCTTAGCCATAGCAGACTTAGAGCTCAGCAGTCTCCCACCCTTGGCAGCCTCTCCACCAGGAAAAAAGGCTCCCCTGCTCTGGAACCCAAGGATGGAGGTCTGTGTAGGCGCTACCCACACTGGAGAGATGAGGTGGTGTTCCTTTGGAATAAGCCTGTGTTTTATGCAGTTTCATCCCACACCTACTACCCTGTCCTGAGCACCAGCCTTATCTGTTTATCAGGTCAGCTGTATACTTTGCTGCTATTGATTTTTTTTTTTCAAATTAGGGACTTTATTTATTTATTTATTTATTTATTTATTTATTTATTTATTTATTTATTGTGTATGCAATATTCTGTCTGTGTGTATGTCTGCAGGCCAGAAGAGGGCACCAGACCTCATTACAGATGGTTGTGAGCCACCATGTGGTTGCTGGGAATTGAACTCAGAACCTTCGGAAGAGCAGACAATGCTCTTAACCACTGAGCCATCTCTCCAGCCCTACTGCTGTTGATTTGAGAGCACTTTCAGGGTTTTCATTCTTTTCAGAACTTCCAGGTAAAACCAGTTGTTGCAGAAGGTTAAAGGTGGGGTCTCCTTGCCCTATTCTCATGTTCTATGAGATGATTTGTGCAATACGAGTAAAGACATTTCCTCTTAATTTTGCCATGTTACGGGTGGGGTGGTTATTTGTGTGTTTTGAAACAAGGTCCCATTTTGCAGCCCTGCCTGACCTGGAACTCCCTATATAGACCAGGCTGGCCTCAAACTCAGAGATCCACTTGCTTCTGCTTCCTGGGTGCTGGAATTAAAGGTGTGTACCCCAACTGGTGGCCTTTTTTTTTTTTTTTTTTTTTTTTTGAATAGTTGTTGTTTTGTTTGTTTTTGAGACAGAGTTTCTCTGTGTAACAGCCCTGGATATCCTGCAACTCTTTGTAGACCAGGCTGGCTTCAAACTTAGAGATCGCCTACCTCTGCTTCCTGAGTGCTGGGATTAAAGGCATGTGCCACCACTACCACCACTACATTCGCTGGTAGTTTTTTTTAAAATATATATTTATTTCTTATGTATGATGTTCTATCTGCATGTATGCCTGTAGCCAGAAGAGGGTGCCAGCTCTTATTACAGATGGTTGTGAGCCACCATGTGGTTGCTGGGAATTGAACTCAGTACCTCTGGAAGAGCACCCAATGCTGTTAACCACTGAACCATCTTTCCAATCTCATAGGTTTTTTTTTTTTTTTTTTTTTTTTTTGTTGACAGGATCTCAGCCAATAGGCCATTGGGCTTGCAGTGCAGTGACTCTGCCTGTTTAGTCTGGAGTTACAGGACTGGGCACTCATGCTTCCAGTGACTTTGTCTTTATTGTTGTCTAACCCTCATGGCACCTGTAAGGAAAGTCTGTTTTATGAATGGGGAAGCTAAGTGACTGCCCTGAGATACAAAATAGGCTAGAGCAGTGATTCTCAGCCTTCCTAATGCTATGCCCCTTTAATACAGTTTTGATATACACATAACTCATGTTGTGATGCCCTCCAACCATAAAATCATTATTCTCTGTAGCTTTGAAGCCTGTCCTGGAAGTAGCTCTTGTAGACCAGGCTGGCCTTGAACTCAAAAAGATCCGCCTGCCTCTCCCTCCCCAAGTACTGGGATTAAAGGTGTGCGCTACCACTGCCCGGCAGCATAAAATTATTTTGTTACTACTTCATAATTGTAATTTTGCTGCCATTATGAATCATAGTGTAAATATCTGATATGCAGGAGGATATCTGCTATGCGACCCCCTGAGGGTTCACAACCCACAGATTGAAACCTGCAGGGCTGGGGGGTAGGAATCAAATTTGACTTGGGAGCAGTTGCTGCTAGCTCTGTCTGCCACTTGGTTTTGCTCCTCCAGGCTGTAGTAAGGACCTTTTAAGAGCTCTAGGATGAATCCCTAGGTGACTCTGGAATGCCTACTTTGGAAGTATTTCTAAAGTATTTGCTCTTACCACATTGCCAGTGAACAATATTCTATAAAAATAGTGGAGGTCCTTGCTTTCTTTTGTTTGTTTTTTGTTTTGGGGTTTTTTTGTTTGTTTGTTTTTTGTTTTTTTTCCAAGCAGGACTTCTCTATGTGGCCCTGGCTATCCTGAAACTCACTTTGTAGACAAGGCTGGCCATGAACGCATAGAGATCTGCCTGCCTCTGTCCCCCAAAAGCTGGAATTAAAAGTGTGTGCCATCATGCCTGGCTGTGAAGGCCCCTTTCTAAACAGTTGCATTGGCATTTTGGGGAGAGCTCAGCCAGGGCTGGAGGATTACTGTGGAATTAATTGCATGATGGTGAATATACGAATCAAGGTCTTACATCCCTGTCATGTTTTCAATGAAGCTGGCACTTGATGTGTAGAGAGGTAAGGAAAACAGAATGAGGGAAGAGGGGGAGGCCTTTGCATATCTCATAGTGGGCAGGAAGGGTGCTTGCCAGGATTATAGCAAAACATCACTTATAGGGAAGTGTTCATGGGTAAGTCTGTGAGGCCTTGAATGCTTCTTCCTAATGAATGTGAGATCTTTAAGACTAAAGAGGTGGCATCTCCTGTCAGTTACACCCTTAGGTAGACTCCTCCACTCTCCTGCTTGTTTCTGCCTCTTAGAACTGGAATCTGGCTCTTGGGAGGAACTCTCTCTGATAATTCTCTTGTTCTACTCATTATGGCTCTTCATGGCTTTGTGTTTCCCACAACTTGTGTCATCGGAATCTTAGGAGGGGGAGTGGAATGACTAAAATCCAGATTCTTAATTCTCACCTCCCCAGACACAGTAAGTGAGACTCCCGAGGGAATGGGCCTAAGAGAGGGATCTGGGAACTAGGTTCTTGGGGGGGGGGCAAGAGAGGGGGACGAGACAGGGTTTCTCTGTGTGGCCCTGGCTATTCTGGAACTTGCCGTTTTGGAACAAGACCAGGTTGGCTTCGAATTCACAGATCCGCCGGTCTCTGTCTCCTCAGTGCTGGGATTAAAGGAGTGAACCACTGCCACCTGCACCTACTGGGATCCAGGTTCTTGTAATGACCAAGGTGATCCATGTCCTTTGGTCTATCTATATACTTGTCTTGGAATGGCAGGCACATGAGGGTTCTAGATCTAGGTCTGCAGCCTTGGCTATAAGTACATGTGCAATAGTGGTGGGCTTAGCCATTCTGAGCATACTACTTTCTTTGTGGAGGAGGTTCCAGCACATTCTAGAGCAATAGCTCTTAGTATCTAACACATAGTAGAATATAGTTGAGTGTAGAGAGATTGCTTAGCAAATGTGAAGCTGTGAGTTCTTTCCTCAGCACTAACAAAAATAAATTAAAATATAATAAGTGCCCTCCTCATGGTATCTGCTCCTTTTCTGCCCTCCCCAGAAAGAGTCATACTATACCCAACTAGCCAAATCTTGAGTTCATTTGTCCTAATAGTCCTTAATTAAGAGGCTCCTATTCCAGTGGAAGTTTCTCTGAATCTCTTAAGATCCCCTCAGATCAGGATGCCTAAGAAGTAAAAGAGGCCCTGCTGCCTCCTCCAGTATGACCTCTGGGTTTGAGTCTTGGCTGTCCATCTCCCTGGATTCATAGATAATCCAGGGAGCTGAGAGAAATTGACCTTAGTATGTCCTAGTCTTGACTTTATGCTATAGTCCCCTAGGAACTTTTCAAAAATAATAGACCAGCCGGGCGATGGTGGCGCACGCCTTTAATCCCAGCACTCGGGAG